ATTTGAAACACTGAAAAGAACCATTACTCTGACAGGGAGACCCGGAGACGCAGTGTTCAAATACACTTGGAGTCTAGGTCAAAAACCAAGCGTTCACAAAGTTTGCTATTTAAAGCTTAGTAAATCGCTCATGATACGCTACACTGCTTTCTATAAGGAGGTGTTAGAGCTGCAGTTGTCTGCGGCTGATGGTCAGTGTTTCAGGAGAGGAAAGGTACCCTTAAACACGCTGCGATTCTGGTTTTCCCCACTGGACTCGGCACTAACCGGAGGAGATCCCCTGCCCTGTCCAGCCAGTCTCCTTGCCGCACCGGTCCTCACTTCCTGCTCCTGACCCTTCTTTCAATCGGAACACACCAGCGCCCCCTTCTCTCCACCGGTACCCTTTTCCCTCTTGCTTGCTTAAACCAGAGAACTACTCTCTTCAAGGATAGGGGAAGCCCATCTCCCTCGTGCAGACCTCCCAGAATTCCTCTAATCTGCCCCGTCCTTGAACTGGTGTCTGTTGAATTTATAAATGTTAGCTCCTCAGAGGAGACTAAAACTTCCTCATGGGCGGAGTCCCTTTTCCTTTTGTTACTTTGTACAGAACAGTCTTCTGTATCAAGGCGCTTCATGGAGGGGTATTAAGGTTTGGCCCTTTGACATCCATGTGCCTGCAGTGTGTCAGATGCCGGGAATACGGGTGAACTTTACGGCTCTGCCTACATCAGGGCGCTTATAAGCAGAGGCTGCAAACCTGCCGTAGTGCTCGGGCCAGGGTTTCATTTGACCACTACAACATTTAGAGCATTCTGAATGAGGGTACCTGCAAGCTGGGCATTCACTAATTCCCAGGTCTCCCTTCCAGCCTTGGGTCTGTTACCCAGCCAGCTTCACTGGTCGGTTACCATTAGCTCCTTGGAAAACACTTGCTTTCACAACTCTTGATTTAAAAAAGAAATGATTCTGTGGTGCTGGGGATTGAATCCAGGGCCACACACACGCTAGGCCACTGAGACGCGTCGCTGGCCCCACAACCCTTAATTGTTAAGGCATAAATTCATTCTTAAGAGCAGATACCGACTGGAGTCATTAACGACTGCCCAAACTTTCAAATTATAACACCATGGTGGTTCTTTCTCCACCAGTTCTGTGCATGTTGTTCACTGCATACTTGCAATGGAAAATAACCCCCAGTTAGAAAGTTCCCAACTCCAAAAGCAGATGGTATATTAATTAATTAGAGAAAGAAAGCAGAACCACTGAGCAGCTGTTTTGCTGCCTTAAAAGCAAATGAGCTTCAAGCTGGAAGGGACAGAAACTTCATCAAGACAGCTCTAACGTGCAAGCACGAGAGACCTCTTCAAAGAGTCCCTGTCCTCACATTCTGGTGGCTCAGGCACCGGGGACCCCCTCGAGCCCTCAGGTGTGAGCACGGGAGTATTCTGATACTCTCCAGAAAACCTGGGGCAAGAGGCCCAGGTCTCACATACAAACCACTCCCCCCAAATGCTCTTATTTCTTAACACTGAAGAACATAATTAGAATTCTTAAGCACTACAGACTATTTAGTTGACATCAATCTCTGGCAAAAAGTCTCTTAATCATAAAACGGAGTACCTGGGGGCGGGTGGCAATTTCTAGGAATTAGCAGTTCCCTAAGAGGCACTGACTCTTAAATTAACATTTACTTTTGTGATATATTAGGGCCTATTCAAATTTCTTATTTTTAGCAAGGCACTGGATTCAAATTTTTCTCACATCCTTATGAAGTAGACTGATCTATGGACTAGAACAATTTATGGGCCAGAATATATCAACTCACTGAAATAAAACAGGCTGAGTTCAGCTGATTCATTCATCTGAGCAATATCTATGGAGGACAACCTAGATTTCCAGCTACTATTATAGTGGTGCTTTCAGTGCTCTGAATTTAACAACTACCCTTTAAGGCAGATATATCTAGCCACAGTTTTATTGATATGAAAAAGTAGTTTCTCAAGATCACAAACCTAGTAGGAGTAGGAACCAAACTTCAGAATCAGGCTTCTGATACACCACCTGCAGAGCAGACAGACCTGCGCCACACACGACCAGGGACTTGAACTTCCGGTGAGAACTCACCAAAGGCACAGAATTCACGTGATGAACGTCAAAGTCAAGATTAAAACATATCAAAGCAGGAGAAAGTACAAATTCAAGAAATGCTCAGTTGCACAATTTAAAAAGTAAAGCCCACCTTGACGGGAAAGTTGGTGGGGACATTTACTTCGGAGTACTTGAAGGCGGGAATATATTTTTTGAATATACTCACTGAATTCAATTTTGGGCTAAGGACCTTAGCACAAAGGAGGGTCTTTGGTAAGGAAAGAACCAAAATGATTGTTAAAGATAACAGGTACTGACTTCTGGTCACCTATCCTAAGTACTTTATGCACATTATTAATTTCATTCTTACAAGTCTCTGGCAGACAGTATACTTACGATCACTGCCATTTCACATACCGATAAAAGGCTACCAAATAGACAAAAATCTTATTTTGTAACACTTTAGACCTTACTAAACTGTGTTTTGGTCATGGTCTTTTCAGCCTCTAGATCTTTGCACATGATTTCCAAAGTTGGAGGGCTGTTGGCAAAAGCGCCCACTGGGAAGCCTACCGAACCCGGCTGGAGGAAGCGGCCGCCGGGTACACAGGGCTGTGCTAACCGTGCAGGCAGGGACACCTCAGCCGGGGCGAGCGCCCGCCAAGTGCCCCGAGAAGGCGCCGCTGCTCAGCTCGAGGCCGTGGGGACCGTGAAGCTCCGCTTTTAAAAGTGCCCTTCTGCTAATAAGTAACTTTTGGGATTTTGGCTCGATTGCAAAGTAAAGTTAAAAACTGCACTATTTTCCCAAACCATCCTACTTCACCTAAATAACGCTATTTCCCGTTTATGTAGGACAGCCAGGCAGGTTCTGGAAAACCACCCCATCCAAAGCAACAGGAAATTCCAACTGTTCATTTGGGGTTGATTTCTACTTTGTCAGAATAAAAAGATTCCTAAAAGATAAACATCACATGCCAGATCCTAAAAGGATGAAGTCTTTGCTATGAGACGACTAGTTCATAATTTTTACAATCAGACGCGCACCAAGACGACCAACTCCAGCCGTCCCGCTCGGCTCCCCAGACCCCGTCTCGGGCCGCGCGCCCCGCCGCCGCCGCCGCCGCCGCCTCCTGCGCAGCCTCTTCCGCCGGTGAAT